ATGTTATGGCTGGTCGGTGTAAGTCCGTAAAAAAGGCCTGTACTAGTGTAAAAATTGAGAGAACATATAGTACACGTAAAATAACAATACCAGCTCACACACCGAAAAGTTCTGTACTCAATTCAGTGGCTAATAAAATGGTTTAGAGAGGAAAGACAGTGCTGTATCTTTGTTTCTTTCAGGTTTTCTAATCATTGATCAATAAATTCATTAGTTTATTTCACTATTCTTTTCAGTAGTGAGCTGCACATGGAGAAAATCTCAACAATCTGATAAAACCTGGTACTGTTATTGTGATAATCCTTGGCATTCTGTAAGCATCTGTAGCTCACTTCTATGCTCTTGATGGTGAACTAATGCTAACAAGTAACTTCAGCCTGATGTGCACCACCTTTAGGTGCAATTATGTGCTGACATCAATTACACATGTCTGCCAAGCGGAAACCTAGGTGCAACATCAAAATGAGACCAACTCCCAAGAACCACCAGCAAGGATTACAGTACTTAAAATATTTACTTCTCCCAGTTATTAAAAGGACATTGCAGCTTCATGGTGGGCTAAAAGCAAAATAACAAACAAAATGGAATTGAATTAATTAACCTCAAATTACCTATTCAAACAAACATTACCTTAAACTCATAAGAGGAGCAGAGAGTCCACAGAGGGGCCGGGATACCCAGCCCTTAAACCTGTATCTATCAGGCTGGAACCAATCAGTTTCCTGGGAACCACCTGTACTATCATTGACACAATCACTCAGTTAATCAGAGAAGCTCACCTGCAGCCCTTTGCACACAGAGCTAAGCAGGTTTACCAGAGAGAGGCAGAGATCAACAAGCACAGAGTGGGTTAAGCACATTATACACAAATATACAAAGCCATCAGAAAACAAATCACAGAGAGATGGGGCAAGGAGCAGCCAGAGGACATCAGAGGATAATATAACATTTTTTGAATACATTTTTTTTTCCATGAAATATGAAAAAATCAGTGAATAGAGTTCAAAGTTGTGTTTTTGTACAGTAATCATTGAGGCCCAGTCCTCAGAAACATGTCAAACGATAGACAGCGCCGCAATGTCACGCTACCGCAGAGTCCTGTCTGAGTTGTAACCGATGAATTGTCTGTATTTCCAGCTCTTGGAGCAAATACATAGACATCTCAGCCATTAATATGTCTGCATTTACAGACAAATTTGTAGATTTATAAATAGATTTAAAAATCTGATCACACACACAGATTCTGAACACACTTTTGCAGATTCCTGTACACATTAACAAATCTCAGCACACATTTACAGTTAATTCACACATTTACAAATCTGATTACACACACAGCGATTGAGATACAGTTATACAACTCTCTAGTCACATTTGTAAATACTTTTGCTACAATAGTGGCTCCATAAAAAACCCTTACATAATAATATTGCAGTATATTATTATTTTATAATTTACTGTATATGCTGATGTTTTCTATGGACATTTCACATTGTCTTTGTCTCAGTCAGTTCTGCTCTTAAGAATTACACATAACTTAACCCATCACTGCTCTCTCCAGCAGGGACCAGGAATGTAAGATCTTGTTTGATACAATAGGGGTCACTGTTTGCTCAATTTAAGAAAATACATGCATCTTTGGATGACTGGTTGAATACCTTTTAGAAAAGAATTCATATCACTGTAATGTAATAGTGTTATGAGATTTGCTAAATGTTAATCAGTTAGCCTTATATATCTGTAGTTTAAGCAGCATGGTTGTAATTTTGTTGCAGTAGTTGATTAAACAATTGCTTCTGTAGATAATGCTGTATTTCTTTACATTTCAGATATGATATTTCCTTGTAACCTGTGAACAACACAGAAAAATGTCTGCGATGTAGTTCAGTTAAATCTAGAAAAAAAACACTTTAAACATAAGCATTCATCTGGATACATGCTTTTCAGAGCAGGTTGCAGCTGCAGATTGCACTGGAATGCTTGTGTTGTTACCTCAAAGCAGACTGTGCTTCATGGTAAACATCAATCATTAGTGTCTTTTATGAGGATTCTCGGTGTAGGTTTATGTTTTTCGGCTCAGTCATTAAGGATGTCTGGTTTATGCTCACAGCAAGCAGACCAGGGACGCTTTTTCCTAACTTGTCCATAACCTGGAGAGTCTGGAAGTTTCATTGGAAAACAGATTTCAAGGGGAGTTGTTGTCGTGCTTTGGGACTCTTCCAGGTCCTTAGATTAGATTTTAGGAAACAAGGCCGGATTCTGGCAAGAAATCAAAGCAGCTCTTGAGGGACCAAAGTATCTGTTTTAATTTAACATAGAAAGCTATGAGTCCAGGAAAAGTGGCTTGTATATAAACAGTACCTGCACCCTTATTACCAAGCCATTTTGGTGACATAATTCCTCGAAAATGGTACTTTCCACCACTTGGTGATGTTTCAAAGCTTACAGGGAACTTACCTCATTCTTTGATTTGACTTAACAATTTGATGAGTCATCGGGCAGTTGACAGCTTCAGCTGTTTCCAGAACCCAAGAATACGTATACTTCAGTGAGAAATGGATTTAAAGGAATTTGCTCTGTTTATGTGTTTCTTAAGTGGAACTGAACTCTTGAATGTCATGTTGTGGAAATGCAACTTACACCACTAAGAGAATCCACATGGAGCCACAATCTGGCGAGCACAAGAACCCAGCCAGCGCTGACCTGCTGCCCTTCTTTATTAACCAATTGGCCTCTTTGTAGTGGAGAGAGACTTGAGACTTTACAGACACAATTTTGCATTAAGCATTTTTTAAATTGTTTTTGTGTAATTTAGCACCCCTCCATTCAGTACTGTGTTTTTCTAATTGTTACGTCACCTGGAATGCTTTTTTCATCTACTGAAGGGGGAACATTTCTTTGTGGTTATCTTTGAGTATGCTTATAGTTTGAGATGTGCACGTATGAGCATGATTTTGTGACAACACAACTAGTTTCGAACTCACACAAGTCAAAAGACAGTGAGAAAGGCCTTTTCAGAGGAGATATCTTGTGTCTGGTGAGACAAAGCAGCGATTAGAGCTAAATGCTAACATTAACATGCTCACAATGACAATGCTAACACAATGATGTTCAGCAGATATGATGATGGGATTGTAATTGGCAGGTATTTTGTCATAAACCATTGAGGTCTGCACCAAATTTCATGGAAATCCAGCCAATATTTGTTGAGATATTTCACAAAAATGTCAGCCTCATGGAGGTGCTGAAGAAAAAGTCAGGGGCTCATCGAGGTCAGCAAAATACACCCTCTCGGGACCATGAGTGTCTGTACAAAATGTCATGGAAATCCATTGAATATTTGTTGAGATATTTCACTCTGGACCATAGTGGTGGACCGACAGAAATTGCCAGGGTCAAAATTGAAAATGTTTTTTTGTTAAATGTATTATGAATATAAAATAAATACAAATTAACTCGTGGGTAAGCTGAAAAGCATTTTTTATTACTTATTACAGCGTTAGTATAGTACATACTGTATTGGTACGATTAGTAATCATAGCACCAGAATCAATCATTCATTTCTTTTATACAAGCTACATACATACTGTAGGTATACATGATTCTTAAAAACATCTTTGGATAAAGCATGGCAAACAAGCACACTGTTTCTCTATTCAGTACCAATGCCCATTCAGTATTTAGCACATTGTTTACAATTCAAGTATGAATATTAAAAATACACATATATCATAAGTTACAAATCTTAACGGTTATTACAAAAAAACCCAAACAGGATTACATTTCTACAAAATTTATGGCACATAGTGCATCAAGTATTCTTTAACTTTCTGATACAGACCTCATAGAACAATTAACCATCATAAACATGAATGATGGCCAAAGGTTTTCTAGCTGCTCATTGACTTTTTATTTATTTTTCAGCCATTCTTTCAGTTAAAAGAAGCTGCATTGTCTGAGAAGAAAAAAATCTGCATCTATCTTCTAACTTTGGTTAAAGCTTAACATCAGAATACCAGTATGTTAGGTTGCTTGATAGTTGTAGTAGTGGTCATGGTGAAAGTCATTTATGATGAGTCAAATACTACTCAAGGGCACATTTCCTCATGCAGTGGTTAATCTGATATATCAACCTTGCAGCTAGATTTTCAGCTACATTAATGAGAGGACTATTACATGCATTATAGGCAGATCTCACATCTGCTAAAGAGCCAAAAGCCAATGTTTTCCTTCTCAAGATCAGAGGTAATTCCAGTAGTTCAAAAGCACCATTCAAAAGATCCTCATTTAAGGTTAGTGGTTATACAGTACAAATAGTAGTAGGCTAATACCTTTTTAGCAAAGCAGACAAAAGACAAAAAACATCAGACAATGGCTTCTCTGTTGGTAGAAGTCATTGTACCTTCAAACACAGAACATATCTACAGTCATTACAGAATAAATATGGTCAAACATAAATATATTACAACACATATCTCAGTAGAGTATGGATGCTTGTGAGAGGTAGGGGTTGCAGGTACCTACAGTAGGCCCAAAGGAGGGTGTGAGGTGAGACATCACACTTGATACAGTGATTCCTCACAGCACTAGTGTTTATGCTGTCTCTATGTGACAGTCGTATGTCGGTCAGTGGACTGTCTATGCACTTTTAAGTAGTTTTGCGAAAATACCTGACTGCAGATGACAGCAGACAGACTTTAGAAATACACAACAATGAAAACTGAAATTATCTGTAGCCGTTCACGTTCTCTTAATGTTTTACCTCTGATGTAAGGCAGAGCTAGAAGAATATCAGTAGTTGATGCTATCTTACTCCTTCTATAAGTTCTATAATGAGCCCCAAAGGAATAGTTTTGGGAAATACACTCACTGTCTTGCAGAGAGTTAGACGAGGAGATCAATTCCATTACCGTGTTCGTAAATATGAAGCTAGTCAGCCAGCAGCCAGTTAGCTTAGCTAAGCATAAAGACTGGAAACAGCGTGAAACAGATAGTCAGGCTCTGTCTAAGGGTAAAGACGCTGGACTAAAGGTGCACTCACTTCCTGGAGTCTCCGCTGTTTGCTTGGCAACCTCACGAGTGATGTCAAATGTTCTTGAGCTTTAACGGTCTAGTGTTTATGATTTAGTGGCATCTAGTGGGGAGGTTGCAGACTGCAACCAACTGAATACACTTCGTCTCACCCTCCTCTTCCAACTTAGTAATTGTGAATGGCCCTATCTAGAGCCATTGTTTGGTTTCTCCGTTCTGAACATGTCTGATTCACACTGGACCTTTAAGTTGTATGGCAAAAATAATAATGTTGTAGAACTTACTGCAACAGTGCATTCCCTAAAACGACTAACCAACTTTTCTAGCTAATCTAGGTCACTCTATGTTGGCAGCAACTAACGGTTACAACCTAATACCATTTTACAAACTAAACATGAACAAAAAATGTATATACAATATCTGAATACCTCAACGCCAAGCTACCTTTTTCCCTGTTTCCAGTATTTGTGCTAGGGTAATCTTAGCAGCTGCTGGTGGTAGCTTCATATTTACCATATGCACTTGAGTGGTATTGATCTTCTCATCTCTTGACAAGAGAATAAATAAGCGTAAATGTCAAACTATTCCTTTAAACTTGTGTAAGATGATTTGCAGTGTAGCTCAATTAGTAGTTGTAAAAAATGACTGTGTAGATATATATATATATATACCTATATATAATACAACAATAACACAACCATTGCTCACATACTATTTCCGTCTCTGTCTGTAGCACTTCTTTGTCACCAGAGGATTGTAATGATTATTAGATACTACTGTAAAGTGTATTGATTTTTAAACCTGATTGCAGGTCAGTTAGATAAGTGGTAACTAACTGTTTACAGTGTCTGTAAATATAAATATATATGCACCTTAAAAGGTAACATATAACACGATTAGTTCCAGGTACTTAATGTCAAAACTCTGGAATTTGTTTTTTTTACAGAAAACGCTTCACTTCACAGAAAAAGTTATTTTTTTAAGGATGAGAATTTCTTTTTTGAACAGAGAGTATAGTCTGTTCAGGTTTTTCTTCAGTGTATGTAATTGCTTTCCCAGTGTTTTGAAGTATTGTATCCCTTTCAGTTATGCTAAAAAATGCATAACAGTGTCAGAACAAGAAAGCATTTTAGGTCCCAAAGCGCAGGCATGTTTGATTGCAACACTGTTGGCAAGCAAATCTAGCTTGCTCTTCTTCAGAGTTAACAGTTTGAATTAAGGACCAGACAGTGGCCCTCTAGCACTGCACAGTATGTGTAGTGTCTTGTATGTTTTTAGCTGCCATTTGGGAACTGGGGATGTTACTGTAGGACGATTACTGTTAAATGCTCCTCCACCACACTCACAGATGACTATGGGGTCCAACAAATCACGATTATTGCATGTTCCTGGGCTACTGTCTTCAAGAAAGATTTAGGGGTTTGGTCTCTGCATGGCCCTTAGTGGACTTGAAGGAGTAGGCCGTTGTGAGCCTGGGGAATGCACTTCCCACAGAAACCGCCACAGCGACCGTAGATTCTTGTTCCATCCTACAGACAAAGACAAATGAGAGAGGAAAGAGTGGGCAAAGGGCAGCTTTTTACACAGAGAATGGAAGCTTCATAAATGTCAGTGGGGATTCCTCTTCAGTGAATCAGACGGAAACATAACATAGCAATTCAGATGACATTTCAGAGAAAACAATCTCATTCCAGTACTCCAAGACCCAACATAAAGCCCAATTACCTCCCAGTAAATTGACAACTATACATTTATGACACAATCCATTCCTTAAGACCCAAAGACCATCAATCGTACAAAAGAAAACCATTTCATACAGCTACTGTTAGCTTCTTACCTCAGATCTGTGTACTTTGACGGAAACATAGTTGCCCTGAGATGTCCACTTGGTGGCCTCAGCCACTTTGAGGCCAGTGCCAATCAGATTAATGCTGAACTGGCCCTGAAAACACACATCAGATTGAGTTAATTTTGCACTGTTGTTTAACCGAGAAGGTTGTGCTCTTTCATATTTGCAGAAAAGGTCTGTAGCAATAACTGGAGTACACACTACTATGTGGTGAGCACCTACATTGGAGGAATAGAGAAGTTACTGCCTCAGTTAAGGGTGTATTCCCCACAGGTCCAAGGAATTATAGCAGCAGATGGTTATTAAAAATATGTCTTCCTTGACTTTCAGGCCACTAACAAACATATGACACAAAAAACCACATGAAACATTTGTCTGAGGCCAACATTTACAGTATTTTACCAACCTGTGGACACTTGGCTGCACTATAACAATCTCCTGCTGTAGCAAAGGGCACAGGTCGACCAAGAAGAGTCTGGGAAAACTGGAGGTCTGTGACTGGTAAACAGCAAAGATACAAATCTGGAGTCACAATATGCAACAGCAGAAGTAAACATAGACTGACGACAGCTGCTCTAAGGTAAATAAGCACGCAGGGTATTAGCAACTACAGTTTATGCAATTAAAATCCATTGCAGAGTTGATGTCACTTTACTGTCACATTGCCAGATGTCTTCACTATCCCTAAAAGATGTTTCCACAATAAAGTTATTACAAAGAGATTTGTGGTTTGAATGTGATCCCAAGTAATTCATCCTAATTAATCAACTCTAAACCCCTAAAATCCCAAATCAAATAGATTTGATTTTTAAGAGTTTTACACAAAGAAAGTTGTGAATATCATACAGTTCAAAATTAAAAATCTAAATCTAAAACTCATATTTGCGATGATATGTAACTATTATATGACTACCTGAATGTTTTGTGCATTGCTCTTACTGAAAAGGGAGCAAAGAGATAATAAAAGATTTTCACTTGGAGCTTATGAATCCACCCCAAGTACCCTCTAGTACAGTAGATTTGTGAGTTAACTGGTGTAAATCAAATCTTTTTTCTACATTTTCAATTCAGTGACTTAATCTGAACCTTGTTTCCCTGGCTCTGCTGTTCATTCCCATTTACCCTGCATTGTCACACATGATAACCATGACCAGTGCCTTTTCCTGCCCTCCCTTCACGTTGCCTGTAGAAAACGATGATAAAGTTCACGAGATGCTTCCCTTCATCTTGAACTCATTATCCCCCCCTCAGCACTCTTCAAGCCGCCTGAAAGCCAAATTAGTACCATGCACAAGGATGGGAACATGTGCTGTCGGGACCCAGACCAGACGAAGAGGATGGAAGGATGACTGTGTAGGTTCTAATCCAACTTCCCCTCAGCACACACACACACACGCACACACACAGTACACTAATCCACATACTCTAATCAAAGGCATACTTGGACACAAAAGGGAAGGTGGAGCTGACTGTAATAATGAGCAGAGGAATATGGCCTGAAGATGTGTGTGTGTATTAGTGACTGTGTGTCTGTGAATGTGTGATTGCTCGCATGCTAGTATGAGTGTTTGATATTGATGCGACGTCAGGCATGGGTGTGTGCGCTTGTGTCTTCAGGTCTTCTTGTGTGTGCTTGTCAAAGAAAAGATGTGCAAGGCAGCATCACGTATTGTCTGTCTATGCTTGAGAGCAGGCACGCATGTCTGTGCTGTATGTGCACGTACGCATTCCTTTATTCTCATGCTCATGTGTTTGCGCTCGGAGGCCCCGGTTTTTTCCTTGCCTAGTGACGTGAACAGGGAGCGCTGAAAGGTCATTATTTTGATTTCAGAGGAGAGAGTGTGGGGAAAGCAGCACATGCCACATTTTGACAGCTCAGGCTTTTGGACAGGGTGGTATTAAGCACTACAGGCCGAGGCGTCTGAGGGTTAAAACAACACTGATGTGTGGTCTTATTACAGTAGACAGTGTAAGGCAATCACAAAGTAATTACGCACTCATTATCCTCAGGGAGCTCAGGTCCAGACGAACTTTTTGGAAGAGAGTGTATCCCACCGCTGAGTAGTCATTCCTACAGTCGCAGTCCTGTCTTCGGCTGCCGTTATACGGACATTCAAAGGGGTTCAGCAACCTTTGTATTAAGGATGAGTATTAGGATTTATTTAAGACAAAGACAAGAATCTGAACACTCCTACAAACACTATATTTTACACACATCATGCAACATGCAGCACAGTAATACTGATTTACGCATTACATGATACTATCTGAAGCTACACTGATACACAGCCCAAGTGGAGTCATCGATGCATTATACACACCTGTTCCCATACACCTCGGAGTAGTTGTCTGTCTGACCGCTGCGCAAGGTCACATACTCCTTGGGGAAATCAGTCTGCATCTCAGCACAGTAAATCTGAGGCATAACACATTGAGAGAACTGAGCCTGTGGGGAAGCTGCAGGTTGAGTCATGATGTGTGTAGGAGCAATTTTGACAGGACACACACACCTGTAGGATGCGGGACTTGACTTTGAGATAGTATTCCCCATCTATCTTCACACCCTGCCTCATCTGGACATCTCGGCAGGAAGTGAACAACTGGCCTGGGAGAGGAAATATGAAGGGAGGAGGGAGAGGTTTTTAGTGCAACAGCAAGGAAATGGGAAACTTTGACAGTGAAATCTGCCACCAGCCGCTGAACGTCATAATTTTCGGCCACTCTCCTTGTGCAATCCAGTCTATAAATCTGTCATCAACAAATACCAGAGAGGTTGCAAAAGCTAATGAAACACTACACTAGTATGAGAAAGCATTGTAACCTAGCTCTCGTCTTGTTACTGTAAATGAGAGTTGTTGTAAATGTTTCATTATTTGCGTTGCCTCCCCTGTTTCCCCAGAGTGTTGTAGAGCTCATATCATGCTGATTAGCTGATTAGCATTAATACTTGACTGCAGAACTGGCTGTCACCCGAGCATATCATTTTAATTTCAGCAGTGCCTGACTTGGCAGAAGCCATGTTGGGAATGAACAGCCCAATGCACCAGTACTGAAACACCAGAAATGTGGGGGAGCGAACCTATGAGCTTTGGCCCGCTGCCGGGTTTTACAGCACTTGTAAGTTCACAATGAAGGCTGCCTCGGCCCCACAGAGCTATGCACTTAACAACAAGATCTCTGGGTATTTGAAATGAAGGAAGAAAAGAGAAGAGAAGAGGAGTTTGGCTCACATTCTCTGTCTTGACATGTAGCTTGAGACTCAGGTCTTTCTGAAGGACGGCAGTGTTTGGATGGTTGGCCTTTGGAGGTCACACACTCCACTCTGCGCTCCATCACTCCTGCCCCGCACGTCTGCGAGCACTGTTATACACACAAATACACACAAAGGCATTCAATCACACAGCTTAAAAAGTATTAACAAATAAGCTGCAATCAGATCCAAATCCACAAATGAGATTCATCAGCAGAACCATAAAAAATGCACAAGTCATCAAAATGTTTTGTAAAAATGGCAATTAGCTAGAGAGGATTTCTCACTGCCTAATAAGCGTTTTCTGACTCACCTTGCTCCACGGGCCAACTTTCCAGTAGCTGGTGTGCGGGCAGTCCCTGAGGAGGCACGGTTGGGTGCCAGGAGGGTGGGGCTCAGGGCAGTGGGTGCTGGCAGAGGAGGACTGAGCAGCAGTGTACAGACGCAGAGCCTGGGAAGAGGGCATCACGGAGCAGGAGACTATACGCTGCTGGTAGCCCACACCACAGCTGGCAGAGCACTGAGCAACACACAGATATACACAAACCAACAGTTATGAATACATGGCGTGAGTAAATGTTGATTGATTAAGTAAATTAGTAATAGTCATTGGTATCCTGTGAAAAATGTGTATCTCCAAACTGTTTATGAGTTCAGAAAACAGGGTTTTCAGCGTTGTGACAATGTATTTTTTTTTAGCTAATCCACTGGGTTTTAAATGGTTTATTTAGCCAGAACAACTGGATAACTTTCTCAACCTATAAAATAACACTTAATTCTTCAGTTTATCTGAAAATGTCTAAACCACTGCAATTTGCAGATACATTTACAGTACACAGACACCACAGGGGTTCCAGTTCCTTAAATGTGACGATGTACTTTTCTTTGTATTATATCATTTTGCAGGACCTGTGTGTAGGATTTAGTGACATCTAGTGGTGAAGTTGCAACCAAACTAATACCGCCCTGCCAGTGGCCATGAAACTCACAAAGGACGCAAAAACCCCTATAGCTAGTGTTTGGTTTGTCCATTCTGGACTACGGTAGAAACAACGCGGTTCATCTTGGACTCTGTAGTGTAGTTGCAAATAACAACATCCTCGTCTCACAGTCCTGTTCCAAGTAACTACGATGGTCACGATACAAAGGATGTGAAAGACCTGCTCCCTCTGTAGATAAAAATGGCTCATTCTAAGGTAACGATAATACACCAATGCTTATTTTAAAGTGATTATACACTAATGATAACATACCTATGAATATTGTATTCCATTTAGATGAATGTTACACACCGGACCTTTAAATGGAATACTTTTAGGGTTTGAATGGTTGGTGGGATAAAACGAGTAATCTGAAGACACATCTTTCACTATTTTCTATTCATTAGTTGTATTTGCAGTGGAATTAAGCTCAGTCTTTATTTATTCTTGTAGTCCTACCTGTGACCATTCCCCTGTAATCCACATGTAGTGGCAGGGATCTCCTTTGCAGGGCTGGTGTGATGATGGCTGCGACGATGGCTCACAGTAATCATTCTGGACAGGTGTCATCCTTGGGCCAATGCACCGCAGCTTCCTGCTTCTCACGCCTTCTCCACAGGTTGCATTACACTATAAGGAAAATATAAGAATTCAGTAAGAGTAAAGAAGAGTTGGCAGAGGGGGGGCAGTGTTGTACTTTCAGCAACAGCATCAGTGATTTCTCAGACTCCTGCTTGCCTCTTTAGCTCTCCAAATGGGCACTATTTATTATGTAAAGGTAGTCACAAGTAGAATGCTGTGTGACAATGGCAACATTAGCTCTCAAGTAACGCAGTCCCAAACATCTGCTCTAGTCACCATAAAAAATAAAAGTAAAGCTGATTTCCCTCAGGCGCAGTAATGGTTTATAGAAGTATTTAAAAGTAATGGTACGGAGTAGAATCTTAAAATTAATTTATGTAAAAAGTCTGCTGTGTGAGGAATTTATGGCAATGTCTTTGTATTTCAAGGGTATGGAAAAGATTTCAGAGCCAAACTGTGAAAGAAATTGTGCTTTAAGTTCTCGAGGCAACACAGGCAGGAATCTGAACACTGCAAACATTCCTGCAGCAGGAGGATACAGCGTTAGGTCCCTACGTGGTACCCCCCTTTTATGCCTCAGTTTCGAGGACAAAGCTCAGGACATTAAAGAAAGACGAGCAGAGAAAAAAAAAGTCTTCTAGCATGACAGAACAGTGATATTCAGTGGGACAAAGGGATGATGGCCATCGGTACTTTGAGGTTTGATATGATTTACAAACTGATAGTTATCACCACAGCCCTCATGGATAATGCAAGACAGCAAGGGTACTGCAGGTTGGTGATTTAATGGTGCACCGAAAGAGAGAAAGAGCAGAGATCTCAGCCAATAAAGACCTTAATAAGACGGTTAAACATCTGTTCATCTGTCTCACATTGGGAGACTGAGGGCAAGGAAAGTGGGAGGGGGGAGTAGATAATTGATGAGTCTGTACTTACTTCTTCCCATTCACCCGAAACCCAAGTGTAATGTGTGCATTCTGCAGTTTGGCACGGCCGGACAATGGGAGGTCGCTGGTGAGCATCACACAAATCCTCTCTGACCCGTCCAGTGCCTTTTAGTCTGCAGTAAACATCTCGGTTCTGAACTCCGACTCCACAGGTGACAGAACACTAGTAAAACAGACAAACAAACACACTTCTGATTGGGAAAAAGGCAGTAAATGGAAACTCAGTTTATGGTGTCTTCTGTCTCCCATACTTAACAGATATAACAGCAGTATAGTGATTATTTTCATGGCAATCCAACCTTAATTCTCTCACAGAGCTGATCTTAAAGGACCAGTGTGTAGAAATTAGTGGCATCTAGTAGTGTAGTTGCAAATTACAACATCCTCGCCTCACACTCTCGTTCCAAGTAATTACGATGGCCACGATTCTTACAAAGGACATGAGAGGCTCTGTCTAGAGCCAGTGTTTGGTTGGACCAATGCTATGGTCAGTCAGGATATGTTGGCCTCTGCTGCTTTGATTTTGACCATAAAGACTGGATTACCCCTTTAAAGTGAGACTAACCGATTACAGGATAATTACGCGCCAAATTCTCTTTCATTTCCAAAGATTCTTTTGAGTCAGTTTCATCCTTATTCGGGGACCTGCCTGAGAGAGATAGGAATGCATGGATATATTATTTGCTGCAAATTTTTATATAGTGGTCAACCATGGTACCATAATATACTTATAAAACACCATAATAAAACAAAAGACAAAACTGTTGCTAGGCCCTTGACAGTTTGTTAGTTACCCAACTATTATTTTATGTGCAAGGTGTCATCTCAATGTGAATTCTATGCAATGATCTGCAGGGCTCAGGGAAAGAGACGTGAATCTCCATCTACATCTGTACTTATATGATTGTGTCATTTCTTCTTTCATGTGTCATAGACTCGCTTTAACGTGACAATTTTTTTTAGGTTTTAAAATGTTTGTTTGGTCTGCAGTGTCGAATTGCTGCTTTGATGCTCCGGAACAATGTACTTAATAAATCCAAAGCCAGTTTGTCGCTTCTTTGTGAGACGTATATCTGAGGTCACACAAAGGTCTGTCTCAAACATCTCTTTGATGTGCTTTGAGAAGCATACCTGCATACTGGGGGAGCATTCTGTAAAGCTCGCTGATCAGCCTGATTTCTGTCTCCAGCAGACCTCAAAGAACAGTGCCAGGCCTCAGCGATTTCACACAGTCAGAAAATCTGCGCATTATACAGCAAGTATCAAATTTCCCGAAAACTTCCAGATGTATTTGTGTTGTTCGTGTCTCACTGCAGTCGTGTGTTATCATTACAGAGTGTGTGGTTGAATGTGAAGGGTCAAGTCCTTGCGTTTGGAAAGAGAACAAAAAGCTCCATAGGAAATCTGACCTTCAGATGAAAAAAATGCTTTTCTTAAAATCTTACAAAGCATGAAAATAGAACCTGCTGTTAAAGTGATTATAGTCACTGTTAACTGCTACAGCCGAAGAAACCTTATGCTGTATTTGTGCAAAAGAACTTTAGCACTTTTATCAGCAATGGTGCAACTAATAGTCATTTCATAATAGTGTTGACTGAGCCTCAAAAGACTTTAAAGGGTCAGTTCACCCAAATTACAAAACATATTTTATCACTTACACGATCAGTCTAGCCAAATTATACTTGAGCTGCTCACAGCAGTGTAAAATTACATTTGAAACCCCCAACAACAATTTGTCTTTTCAAAAACAGTGTCCCATTTTACTCTGGATAATTAACTACTTTATAGGCCCTATGAAAACTGTTGACAGACTGATCTGTGTATCATCCAGTGAAACAGGAACACAGTTTCTGAAAACAGATGTTGCTGATTAATTTAAAACAAAAGTATTTTCAATGCTGTATGCCTCCAAACAAAATGTAATTCTCCTCCATTGTATTAGGGTGATGGAAGATACACATATCAGAGAAACATGGGGAAATAAAAATGTGGATATGTGTATAGCTAGATAGCTCTAGACATATATTTTATTGTAATTTGAATGAACCAACCATAACAGTAATTTAAAATATTACATTGAAACTATGTGTGCACTGCATTACAAACAACCAGTAAAAGAGGAAAATAATTCTTGTGTCGTTGGCTCAATGGGCAGTCCACACCCCCTCAGCTCCTTAACATGTTGCCCATTACACCTCCAGTCAGAGGTTGGGTAGCTGTGGAATAACTCAAACAGTGGGTGCTGAGGTTTCACATGCATAGATATTAAGATATAAAACATGTCTTTATGCTCTAGTTGAGGATTTCATGGTTGCTGGTGGTATGTGGAGGAAGATGATTGCTTCCAGACAGCTGCAGCGAGGGAGAGTGTGAGAGGGGAGGACACCCTCAAAGAGTGGAGAGTGGCAGGAGTCTTGTGGAGGCAAACATGGGTCTTCAGGGACCTTTTGGGATTTACAGTTACATGGAGGAGGGATTTGTAACATTTTTAAGGAGGAAATTGAGAATTTTTTGCAAATATTTTATTTTTTGTGGGTGATCAGGAAACACTGTTCTGCCACTGGGTGACCGAAAAGAGCACATTGACAGACTACAGATGAAGTTAGCGACTAGCTGGTGAACATATTGGAGCATTTAGCGGCTAAAGAGACAGATATTTCCTGTAGGAGTGGGTGAAGGCCAAATCAGAGCTAAAAGAAGGTTAAATATTTTATATTCATCCGCTGGCATGAACTCTAGATGAATGCTAATGTTGCTACAAATCAGCTGGATGTGTAAATAGGCAATAACTGCATTAACAAGTTAGCAACCTTTATTTAAAAACTGATAATATGGCATTGTTGTACTCACAGATGTTTCCCATGGTACTGCAGGTTTTAGATGCAAACAATGCAAACTCTTTGTGTTTTTAACACACAGTATGCTTAATCCTCAAGGTAATCTGACAAAGCATGACAAAGAGCCTCTTCCTTTCAGTCTGCTCTGTGACTTATGATAAATTTGGTTTAGAATACTTTTCCCCCTGCGGGAGCTCAACATGACTTTGAGCCAAAGCTGTGTTGCGGCTGCATGCGTCTTCTCTTGGTAGCAGATATCATGGCTGTGCGGTCGGCTCCATGATGACTGCGACCTCACCCCCCTAGCGACTCCTCTATGCGCGGCCTTTGCCCTCCCAGTGTCTGATTGCACTAGTACAGTGGTACAGAAACCTGCTGTGCTTCAGGATGTGTGTCATGCTTTCATCTGTATGGGAGGCCGAGCTTGGCTCCATCAGCTGTAACTCTGAACCTCTGTGCTTATGTGATTTGTATGAACAAGCTTTCGTGTGCAATGCCACACAATTCTCTTGAAACATGCTGGTCAGGGTGTGATCTAATGAAAAGCTTCAAAAGAACTTGGTCAGCATAAAGCTGCTCTGTAGATTACCCTACACTGCTATTTCACACATACATTTTTTTCGGAGTATTTTAAACATGGCATCCTAAATGTCACGTGCACCACATAAACAGTTTTACAAATCCAGCCTGTGGTGTTTAGTTGACACTTAAGGAAATGACACATTACTCTTGAACAAGAATAAACTGAGTGGTGATTGGACAGGTGCTCTGTGTGTACATGTCCTACATCTGCAACCTCTGGGAAGTATTTTTGCTTGTGTCTCAGCTGCTAGCAGTACTCCTAGTATGGTCCCCGAGAGCCAGAAGAGATGAGGAAAAGAGCAAACACACCTCCCTCCACCTGTTGGCCTTCCAGCTGGGGCATCCCCTTGTCCGACAGGCCTTCTGCGTCCGTGGCCGAGGCAGATGACTGCAGTGCTCCTCCTCTATTTTGGTTTGGTTCTGATAAACACAGGCTATCTCCCGCTGCTTGGTCCCCCGACCGCAGCTCACTGAACACTGGAGAGGGAAAGGGAGAGAAGGGGGGATGGGTGTCGGGTGGAGAATGAGAGAAAAGCAGGGCATATAAGCAAGTCCTGTTGAAGATCATAGCTATCTACTGATAGTGGTTACAAAAACTTATTATTACAAAAATATAAACACAAAAGTTTTGTATTGTAAGTATTGTGCTGTAATGAGTTTGAAACTAATATTTTGTGTAATTTTCAATGTAATGCTTGTATTTGCTAGAAAGCAGTTCCAATGAAATTTGTTGATAGCGAGCTTCAGGAATTATCCAGAATAACCAGGACATTGTTTCTGTAAAGACACGTTGCTGTTCAATATTTAAATAAAGTTCTATTTGCCTCCAGAGAATGTGGACACAAAAGGGAATCAACAGAGCCGTAGACATAAACATTGGTGTATAACATAATGTTTATGTTTTGGTACAACATATACAGCATTTAGACTTTATATTTAGCACCCTTCAGCTTCCTTCTTGTATTTCATGGCCAAGTGAACACACTGCAAACAACTTTAACCAAACAACTTAAATGGATTTCGCCAAAACCTTTTGTCAAACAGTCACAGGCTGATGGAATGCAGCCAACTATTTAACCTGTAAACAGAGGAATTACTTCTAGAGCCGCTGTAAATGGCAGAGGCCGAGGCAAAAGGAGGAAAAGATGCAGAGGGAAACATGGATGCATGCGCACGGCGAGACAATCATCTGGTATGAATAAGGAACCTAGAAGTAGTTCAGGAAAGCTAAAGAGACGGCAAAGAAGAAGAGAAAAAAAACATGATGAATAAAAACCAGACACCCTGATGACAGCTCTGAAAAAGGCCTTTGCCTGAGATTGTAGATGAAAATATTCTCGAGTCTTCGGTCCCCATGAGGCCAGACAGCAATTAGGGTGTCCGCTATTTCTGCTTGACGAGTGAGCGCCCCCATACAAAGCCACTCCAAAAATGGGGTGCTGGAATCGAATACACAAGACGAGGAGAGTTACATTTTGTCTTAGCATATTTTCCAGTCCAGATAATAAACATAATATTGCATTGTCCTCTAATTATGATCTCAGAATGTTGCATAACACCAAACACATGATTTTTTCCCCTATGTCCTCATAGTACTGATCATACTACAGATGATTAAAAGAAAGATTCTAAATTTGCAAATGTCTTGAGGATTTTATCTTTTCTTTCCTGTTTCTAGAAGCTAAAAGGTCTTTTTTCCTGTTAAAAATATCTACTTTACAGAGTTTGAGTATTCATTTGAACCCTTCAAACAAAGCCACCTCCAGCCTTTTCTTTATAAGTGTGGTGCGGGGCTGTGGTTGACACTGCACACACATGCATCATACACATTGTAATTACTGAGGCATTTTAAACACAGGGCTGGCTCAGCTGACGGAGAACATCAAAGCCGAGGCCAGAGCTGAGTGACTAGTCCCTGAGCAGATTCACATACCCACTGCACCCTCACTCAAATATGATAACAGCACTCCCTCTACCTCAGACAAGAGCAGAGACAGGCAACATGTTGGAGTTGGGGGGGGTTGATGAGGCGGAGGGCTAGCCCCTCCTTACTGCTGTAAAAGCAGGAGGAAAGAAGAAAGGAAATCGCAGCCATACGGGCTATGCTCCCCCAGCTGAACTGTATCTGCATTTGAACGGTGGGAGAAAAGACACTATATGGCGATGTGCTCCTCCCTCTACCCTGCCAACCTCATCTGTCAGCCATTAGTTAATCAGGGCTGGTAACACAGAGCACGGAGAGCTGGCACAGCTCGTGGGACCAGAGGATAGCTTCACCTCTGAGAGCAAGAAGAGGGCAAGGACTCAGGGACCTCTGTTTCACCGATCTACAGCTGGGCTGCTTCACTCACCAGCACCCACTCAGGTAAGACCGTTCCACTTATCACTTACTTACTTAGCCGCTATGACAAGTTAATGTCTAGCTGCTTAAAAATAGTGGTGCCTGTGTAATGAGAAATTTGTCAAATTTTAAATAGATGTTTGCATGTTCTTTGAAAGTTGGTGCCTGGTTATTAAACAAGCATACTTTGTAATATGATAGTATTTTGTGCTTTGTACTGATGAAACATTACATGTGGTTTATCTGACATATGTCATATTCAGTTCAAACA